ATTCTCTCCATGACCCCCTTCAGTCCTGGGGTCTTCACTGCAACTGAAGCTGCACTTTCACCTATGGCCTTTCCCGGCCTCTGTGTGCCAAGCCTCAGCTGCTCTCTGTGACGCCTTCACATTTTCAACACCAGAACCATGCAGGAGACTCTTACACATGACCAAGTCCTGCTTCCAGCTTGAGAGCTTGAGATAGAGGCTCGGGTCCCCTCTGTGTGCTGACCCTGAGGAAATACCTCCCAGAAGATTTCACCTCAGTGATGCTGGTCTCTTGTTACTTACAGCTGATTTTTCAGCCCCAGCTAACCAGCATCAGTTGTCCTAGCAAAGCAAAGGTTTTGTTTCCGGTTCTGGTCTCTTCTTTATCACAGCTGATTCTTCAGCCCCAGCTGACCAGAACCCAGAAATTCTCAATCCAAAATCTCACATGAACAGCCCTGATAGTCTCCACTTCCATTTGAAGCTTCACAAGCCAGGCCTCCATCGTCTACAACTCTTTCAACATAACTGTTCCAAGCTCTACAGCAACAAACTCTGAGCATGCAATGGCTTTTCCAGCCCAAAGTTCCAAACACTTCCACAGTCCTCCCCAAAACACCAAGGTCTACAGTAATATCCCACTTTCTGGTACCAATCTCTGTCTTTCTTTGTTCTTCATTGCTGAGACAAAACACTCTGACCAATACCAACTTGGGGAGGAAAAGGTTTATTCAGCTTACAGCTCCCAGGTCGCAGTTCATCAGGGAACCCAAGGTAGGAACTCAGGGCAGGAACCTGGAAGCAGGAGCTAGAGCACAGGCCATGGAGGAACGCTGCTTACTGGCTTGCTCCCCTGGCCCCTGCTCAGCCTGCTTTCTTATGCAACACAGGCCCACCTGCCCAGGAATGGCAGCACCCACAGTGGGCTGGGCCGTCCCACATCACTCATCAAGAAGATGCCCTCAGACATGGCCTCAGGCCAGTCCAATAGAGGCAATTCCCCAATTGAGGCTCCCTCAACCCAGGTGTGTCAAGTTGACACTAAAGCTATCCAGCACACAGGTCTTCAGAAAAAGAACAACCAGTGGGCTTAACCACTGAGCCATCTCTCCAGCCCCCAAACAAAATTTTTAAAAACTCAATAAAATTATCATCCCTTTAAAACAGAACACTCCAACAAAAGGTTGATAGTAAATATAATAAACACATACAGAACATGCAAGCAAGCTCAAGATTCAAGTTTATCACTCGTTAGCTGTCTTCGGTGAACCAGATTTTTGTACAATTTTGAACTATTAGTTGAACTAATTAATTTATATTACTAATGGTTAAAGACATGAAGCATAATAAACCTTGTCTGCCCCATATTGCCTCCAATATTTCAAGAACACAGAATTTTATCTGTCTTGTTCACTATTATATCCATAACATCTAAAATATTACCTAGTAGGGCCTGAATATACATAATGATAAATATATATTGATAAATAATGGTGTGTACTAAAATATAGCGATAATGATCATCCATTATGGTTTGCCACTTACTGAGGTTAAAGATCAGTCACAACTAAAATCTGCTTTCAGAGAAGTATTTACAAAGAGCATTTCTAAATCTTCTCCCTTAGTTAACCAATTAAAATACAAATTACAAAGGCTTTTATTTTATAAAGCACAAAATACAGCAATTCAAATGCTAGTACTTAAAAGCTATTTTGTCTTTCAGAACATCAGTTAAATTTCAAATTATATACATGTAATTCTACAGAGCCAAGTTAACTGTATCATTTAAAATTCTGACATTTCTGGCCAAACACAAGGTGTCAGACACCTTAAAGTTTATGCAAGATGGGGCTTTAGAGATGGCTCAGTGGTTAAGAACACTGGTTGTTCTTGCAGAAGACCCAGGTTTGAATCCCAGCACCCACATGGCAGCTAACAACTGTCCATAACTCCAGTCCCAGGGGATCCAACAGCCTCTTCTGACCTCTGCGGGCATTACACAACATGGGTGCAGTTACTACCTACATGCAGGCAATACACACGTACACATAAAATAAAAATAATAAAAATTTTTTAGAAGTTAAAAAAAAAAAGTTTATGCAGGATACTGATAGCCATAACGTTTGCCTGGGAATCTCAAATGCTACAAGGCAGATTAAGGACAACATGCTTTTCTACACTATATGCTGCTTGATTTGGAACAGTGAACACTATAGCATTTGTGGGGGACCCTAAATTCGCATTAGGAGACTATTACAATAAACATGCTGCTTTTATCAAACAGGTTCTTACATACCAAACTCTAATGGAGCCTACAAGAAATCACAGGCTAGTATTCCACTAATAAAGCTCTTAAAAAAAATATCTGTATCTATGTATCTCCACAGTGTCTATCCAGGTCAAAAAGAAAGCCTTTTCTCAAAAAAAAAAAAAAAAAAAGAGCTGGATGTTGTGGCACACATTTCGCTCCACTCCAGCAGTTAGAAGGCAGAGGTAGGTGGATCTCTGTGAGATGGAGGCCAGCCGATCTACATAGGGAGTTCAGGCCAGCTGGGGCTATAGGGACCCTGCCTCAAACAATAACTAACTAAAATAAATAATTTTAAAAATTCTAGGGGCTGGATGGCTCAGAATGTAAAAGTGCCTGCCACCAAGTCTGATGACCTGAGTTTGATCCCCAGGACAGACATGGCAGGAGAGAACTAAATCCTGAAAACTACCCTCTGACCTCCATTCAAGAATATTTTGGTGCTTCAAAATTCCTGCTCATCACAGATACAGAAACGACAAAAGGTCTCTTTAGTTTCTTTAAAGGGGTTCAACAGAGTCTTCACAATCATGCAGATGAATACTGAAGATAACTACAAAACAGTATGAATGTATTTAATGCTACAGGAGAATCCATTTAAAATGGCTAAAATAGTGTATTTTGGGTTATGTGCATTTTATAAGTAAAAACACAACCAATTCATTTTACAAATGGGATCCACACAGATAATCGATTACAAACAGAATTTCTAATTCTATTCTATAAACAGCAGTACCCCTTAATTCCTTCTAGGTAATAACAAAACTGGGGAGGTTAGGGATGCAACTCAGTGGTAGAATACTTGCCTAGCAGATGTACTGGGTTCCATCCTCCACACCACAATGAAAAATTTTAAAAAATTTTAAGAACCAATTACCTTGGAAACCACTTGGCATGTTCTACCCATGGGTCATCTCCAGATTCCCAGCACCTCAAGCCACCATCACAACAAAAACATTTGACATCATCGTTGCGATCTAAAAAAGGGAAAAGAAAAAAAAAAAAGACCATAAATTGGCTACCCACATGGTCTAATACATAAAACAAGCTAGTAATGTAATTATTTGTTAACTTCTTACCCACGTAATAAAAACCAGCACTTGCAAGCTGCTCGGGGTGAACTGGAACACTAGATGGCCAGTACATAAACGTTCTCATCCGAGCTGAGTGTGTTTGCATACTGAGATTTGAAATACTAAACCTCAGTGTTTCCAAAGAGTTTTCTAAAAATGGACAGTTGGGAAAATGTCTCCGGTGTTCTGACATAGCGTCATCCTTTGGTTCCCAGTTACTGAGCTTTCCACCACAGGCAAAACAGGCCACCCTATCTCCAGGTCCAATATAATAAAAGCCAGCTCTCGCCAATTCTAAAGGTGATAGAAAGCTTAATGGCCACACGCTGTAAGTAAGGAATCTGGCTTCTTCAGTACTCATTGCATAGCTGTAGGGATTAGTCCTTGCTGGAGAGAAGTCTTCCACTGCTCCAGAATTAAGAGGGTTTGACGGAAGGCTGGAGGGAGAACCACTGAATAAGGCATTGTGTTCCAAAGCAGAAGACAGAGAATGCGCAGAACTGCTTCTTGCTGGAGAGGCATTCTTAGCAGTGGCATGCAGGCTAGCTGTAACCAGACTCTGCACAAAGCTGCAGCTGGGATACAGCTGTCTGTGCTTTGCAATAGGACTGTCTCCGTGTTTCCAGTTGTCCAGCATCAGGCCACAGCAGAAGCACTTGACCTTGTCATTCACACCCATGTAATAAAAACCAGCGCGTGCCAGACTCCTTTCTGAGACAGGAACTCCAGCGGGAAAAGTGGAGTACGTGGACATTCTGTAGAGTTCACACGAAAAGTCGTACTTCATCTTTTCTTTGCTCTCTTTTGTCCAATTTGGCAAGACTCTGCTATCTTCCATCATCCGTTTAGTCTTTGATGCAGGTACCTTGGACAACACTTTGGGAGGTAGTTTTGTGCATGAGGTGATATATTTCTGATGGCTTAAACTTTCACATGAAATTTCTCACCTCCTCACACTAAATGAGATCTTCACCATACAGAGGAATAAAATACTCCTATTTAGGTAGAATGCACTGGATTACATCTGAGTCTACACTCACACAGGATGATTCTCTCTCCTAAATTACCAAGATAATATTTATATACTCTTTGGAACTCTATTAACTCTTTAGGTAACCAACAGAGGTATTTACTCACACTCTGGTATAACTAAAGGCTCCCAGAAAGTTTATGCACTTCTGAAAATATCAGAAAGTCTTGCTTTCTCAAAAAGTTTCTATTCTCAAAATGCTAAGCAATTACATAATATCTAATTATATCTTTAATTTGTTTTTCATTACAAGTCTGCATACTGGACAGATTACTGATTACACCAGAAAAATAAGCAGGCTTTTTTCCCTTATAAGGACTTTAAATATGACATCCAAACTATTCTTTTTTTTTCTACCAAATAAAAGCAACTACACTTTTCACATGTTTATATAATCTAAAAACTAATCTCACACAGCTTATCATCACAGTATTTACTTAAGGGTTCTATTAGCATCAGTAGCTTTAGGGGAAGTTAACATCAGCTTAGTTAAGACTACAGCAGATGCGGTCAATAAGCTCTGCTTAAAGCTCAGACTGTTAATCTTCCACCTTGGTTAACTATTATGGATCACTATATTGTTAATTCTGCCTGTGTCCATCATTTGATACATCTGATCAATGGACAGTACTTTCTCCATAAACATAAATACACTGCATTGAAAAACATGGACTTGTGCTTCATTTAGGGATCATCCCGCTATATTGTAGTCAAAGATGAATCAATTTATCAAAAGATACAGCTTTCTTTTGTTATCACAAATGCCTAACAAAATATCTTATTACCAACAGAATTACTATTTTGAAAATGTATCATACTTTACTAGCATTCTTTCTGAAATCTCAACAGTTTTAAGATATAATTATTCATATACAAAAGTACACTCCACAGAATTCAAACTGCATCCTTTTATAAAGTTTTAGGATTTCCATGATGGGATTTATTTCTGGGAAAAATGAGTGGAAATGAAGGCTCTTTGGGGCTGTAAATCTGAAAAGAAAAACAAAAGGCATTTTAGAAAACTGGGATTGTACAGTAAGTAGAACTTACAGCCTCTTCAATTCACTTGGTAAAATCAAAGGATAACTTACACTCTCCTGGTACACCCAAACTCTAGCAATTCCTCAGCACAACTTTCTAATCAGAAGAGCTCTTAATTAAAATATATTACCTAAGTACAATATCCTCCCCAGCATTAAATACACGTCTTTAAAATGTACAACTTTATACATATTTTTATTTGCACCTTTAAAGACAAATGGACAATCCCACACTGGAAAACATTTTGTCCCCAGTCGCCTCAATTTTTTAACGTATCTACTATTTCCTTACTGTTACATAAATACTTCACTAGCCTTTTTTGAGGGTCTTTTTATTTGGGGGGGGGGTGTCGGTCTCATTCTGTGGTCCCTGCTGGCCAGAAATTCACTCTGTAACCCAAGCTCACCTCAAGCTTGTGGGAATTCTCCTGCCTTTCAGCCTTCTAAGTGCTGGGACTACACTACCGCGCCTGGCTCTTCCCATGTTCTGAAAGGTATTTTGATTTGGCACTTTCCTGGAGACAAAAAGCAAAAGTGGTGGTGTGGGGAAGACTGCGAGGCTGGGGGTGTGGCTCAGTGGAATAGCATTTGTCAAGGACCCTGGGTTCGATCCCTAGCACTAAAATACAAACACTAAAAATGAGGGGGGGGGGAGAAGCTTCTGAGCCCAGCATCGTTAAAATAGACGTAGAATTCCAACCCTTGGAAGAGAGACAAGCAGGAGGATCAGGTGCTGGAGGCCACCCAGGGAGGGCCATTGGACAGCAACACTAGTTTTTAATGTCAAGTCGCTGGGGGACTAAGCTATTCTAGTAAAGGGAAGAGCTCAATGCAAACCGTTGAAGAATCCCAAAGAAAGAACCACTGAAAGCATCCCAGAACCAATACCGAATACGACATCCTGCAAAGCCCTGGCATTGGCAGTGCTACCACTTGCGCCAGGGACTTAGGAAACACGCCAGGTCTTGGATCTACTTGGTCTCCTCGAGCAGGTACCCTACCGACTTTGCTCTCCGTGACATCCTGCAAAGCCCTGGCATTGGCAGTGCTACCACTTGCGCCAGGGACTTAAGAAACACGCCAGGTCTTGGATCTTACTAGGTCTCCTCGAGCAGGTACCCTACCGACTTTGCTCTCCGTGCACAGGTGGGCGACCGGTAGACGGGAAACGGAAGAGAAACGATGCCTTCCCCCTACAATCTCCTGGAGTTCCTTCGCTCCACACACTGTCCGACTACGAGCCAGGCATCGCAGTGGTCAAGCTGTCGCCGTGAGCCGCCGAAGACCTGCGAGAGTGCTAAGTTACAACCCCGCAGAAACCTGACGGCCGGAGGGGTGGCGCACGCGAGGCCGAGGCAAGAGGAGTTTCAGACCAGACCAACCTGGAAGCGCAAGCCGGAGGTCCGAAGGCTGGGCGAGCGGGCGGAGGCCTGAGGAGACCGGGGAACCAGCCGGGCCTTTGAGACCCCGTTGGACTGCAGGGGCCCGGCTGACGGCGGAACTCGGGCAGCCGCGGCCTGGTCGCTTCTGCGCGGCCTCCGCCGGGAAGCCGCCCCACCGGGCCCGCCCGAAGGACCTGCACTCACCGCCTCTGGCGCCCCACACCGCCGCCCAGGCGAGACGCCGCCCGCAGTGAGATTCTGTCGGCCTGGTATCCGGGCGTAGTTCCCGAAGGCCCCCGGGGCCAGCAGGGCCGTTGCGGACGCGTGGTGACGTCAGCACATCGCGCTTCCACCGTGGGGAAGGGCGCGCGAGCTGCGAGCGCTGCGCCTGCGCATGCCCGGTCAAGTCTGTGAAGCCGAACTTCCGGTGTTCTTTGCCAGCGGTCGGAAAGAGGCTAGTCCCAGCGTGAGCGGGGGTCCTGGGCGTAGTGGGGCGTGCGGCGGAGTCCAGCAGATGTTCCGAGTTTTGATTTCAAACCTAAACTGCCGCGCCCCTTTAGCGTCTGGTTTGGAGCATTCTCCTGAGGGGACTTGGCCGCCACGAGCCCTTCGGGAAACTGGGCTTTCCCGGCTCACTCCCGCAGGGTCCTAGAGGCACGAATGCAGAGCTGGCTTCACTGCAAAGGCTGCGAATACAGACCGGCTTCGTTGCAAAGGTTTATCGCTGGCTACGTGAGCTGGCCTCGCAACGCTTGGTTACAGTGGACTATATATATGTGCGTGTACAGGCATAGAATGTTTTTTTCTGACACAGCATTAAAGGTGCTTGATATATGGGCTGTTTGGCAGGCAGGCAGGCAGGCATGGTGGTGCATACCTTTAATCCCAGTTCAAGCCTACCTTTGGCTACCCAGTGAGTTTGGGACAGCCTGAGCTACGTGACGCCCTTTCTTTAAAAAAAAAAAAAGCCTATAGTCAAGTGATGGAAATTTTTGTAAAAATTTTACGTGTATGCGTGTAATTGCCCGCATGTAGGTAAGTGCACCCGTGTCGTGCAGTGCCTGCAGAGGACAGAAGAGACTGTCGGATCCCCTGGAACTGGAGTTGTTTGCCATGTGGGGGCTGGGATTCGAACCTGAGTCTTCTGCAAGAACAACCAGTGTTCTTAACCCCTGCGCTCTCTCTCCAGCCCTATGAAACTTTTTTAAATAAAAAAAGAAAAAAAAAGCCCATGCAGCGGGCCACAAGGAAAAAGACAAGAAAAAGGAAGGGGACGTGGGAAGAAGGGACTCTCGGTGGGAATGGGGGGACTAATCAAAGTACGTTATCTGTGAGTGTATAATGAAATTACGAAAGAATAAATTTAAAAACTGGGAAAGTAAAATTTAGAAACCTTCATTTTACTAGTCATTTTTGTGGTCGCCCCAACCCCAAACACACTAAAAGTGCTGTAATTCAGTACTTGTGCAAGGAAGGATTTTTTAATGTATTTGTTTTTTTTTCTTCCGGGTTGAGTGAGTGTTGTTTTGTTTTTATTTGTTTGGTTGCCTTGTTTTGTTCTTTTTGAGACAAAAATCTCGCTATAGTGTCCAGGCTGTCCTGGAACTCATGATCCTGCCGCAGTCTTCTGGGTGCTGGGGTTATAGGTGTGTGCCACCATGCCGGGGTTTCAACGTTTCGATTTACTTTCTGCAAGACCATCTTTGCCAGTGAAATTAGATACTCTAATCTCGGGGGGAACTCCAGTGGCAAACCTTTCAAAAACTTAGAAATAAAACTAGCCTCTAGTTTAGGCTGCCAGGGGAATTCCGGGACCCTGAACCGGTTCCCATTTCCCCGTCCTCTGTGCCTGCCAGTCAGTCAGTCATAGAACAGGCGGCCTTCCGTTCCAATTTTAATAGTAAAAAGAAAGTATTTATAACAGTTTGTGATACAGAGAAAAGAAATGTCGTGGTTCACAGTGACTAAGAACTTTCCAAAATACACACGTTCTCGGTATTTAGTTAAAGTCACTACTTCTTGGAAAGTTACAGAAAACATTGCTAATATTTGTGGGAATATAGCAAGAACTATGCATACTGAATTCAAGATTGTCTCTACTCCAGTTCTCATCCGATCAAAACATTCATTATGAATCTACTTCAATTTAAAGGAAAATTTGCATTTCAAAAGCTTTAGCTTCTCCCTCCCTGCCCCTAAGTAGGTAATATCCAGGTTCAGTAAATAGAACTTTATTACTTCCAATATTGCAGAATCTTGGGAGTCCAATCACTTACTCAGTTAATACTTTTCACACTGTCCATGTGGGGTTGGTAATTTTGAAAAATAGGTTATACACATCTGTTGAGATTGCTGTCCTAGCATCTTTCACATCTATACAGAAAAAAGTATTTACAGAATTCAGGACAATTTTGAAGAAAAAAATGAAGTTGAAAAGATTTGTCCTACAACATAAGTTATATAATAAAGTCATAGTAGTTGAGGTGGTCTTGTATTATTAAATGTGCAAGGATGGACAGTCAAATAAAGGAAGAGCTTTCCAAAGACACCCATATATATGTGTATGGAAATTTTATCAAACATCGATTTTACATATTCGTAAGAAAAAGGTAAGTAATAAATGAGTAATGCTGAATGGCATTTGTGAAAAAAAATCAGACAATTACCTTGCACTTAAAAAAAATTCCTATTAGGTAAAATCCCTGAAAAGTGAGCAACTATCATTATTAATGCAAACTTTAGGCTGAAGACATAACTCAGTTGGTGGAGTAGCTGCCTACCATGCATGAAGCCCTGGGTTCAAATCCCAGCACCGAATAAAACCTGGCTTGGTGGTGTACACCTGTAATCCCAGCTCTTGGGAGATGGAGGCAGGAGGATCAGAAGTTCAGTATCATCCTTGTTACACAGCAAGTTTGAGGCCAGTCAGGGCTACAAGAAACCTGTTTATAAATAAATAAATCCAAACATTTAAATAAATATGATGAGCTGTCAGTTGCTGTCGGTGGCCAAGATGTTTTACCTTAGACCAACAGGAGCCGATTCAGATTGCTCCTGTCTTTTGGCCCAGCTCTAGGAGTGTTTGGTTGCTTTCTGGGTTCATTTTGTACTTTCCTTGCCCCATACCCATCACAAACCATGCTCCGGACCATAATCTGAATGTTTGTCCTGGTGTTAATGAGTTCTAGTGTCTCTTTACCTGTTGTGTGGACAAAGCTAGGTAACATGGTTTGTTTGTGTTTTCCTTGTTAGTTGGTTTTAGTTTTTTGAGAAAGGGTCTCATGCAGACCAGGCTGGCCTCAAACTCTGTGTTGGAGGAGGAGGACTTACTGTTTTGTTGTTGTTTGAATTACATTTATTTATTTGTTTATCTGAGCATGCGTGTGTGTGCTTGTGGAGACCAGAGTTTGGGGGGGGGGTGTTTGGAGAGAGGGGATATTTACTTGTCTCTGTGCTAGAGATTTTAAGCCTTGAGATTGTGAAACAAGGACTCCACCACTGAGTTAACACCGTAGCCTCTACATCTCTGTGACCACTTTCCTTACTCTGAAATGCTTACCCTCCCTTTCCATCCTTCGTGCTTCATGGGTAATGACTTGATTTTTTTTTTTTTTTTTTTTTTTTTTTTTGAGATGTGGTTTCCCAGTAACTACAAATGACCTAGAACTTAAGCATGTAGACCAAGCTGGACTCAGTCTCACAGAGACTGCCTCTACCTCTACCTGCCTCTACCTCCTGAGTACTGGGGTTTTCCCCTTTACTTTGTAGCATACTTTTCTCCACTTACTAAATTCTTGCAATCACTTAATATTAACCTGTAGAAATAAATATTCCACACATTTCTGATTTGTGCTATATGCTGTGTATATATACCATAATATATCCAACTTTAATGGTGTCCTAGTTTGTCTCTCCATTGCTGTGACAAAATACTCTGACCAATACCAACTTGGGAAGGAAAGGGTTTATTCAGCTTACATCTCCCAGGTCACAGTTCATCAGGGAGCCCAAGGTAGGAACTCAGGGCAGGAGCCTGGAGGCAGGAACTGGAGCACAGACCATAGAGGAATGCTGCTTACTGGCTTGCTCCTCTGGCTCAGCCTTCTTTTTTTATGCAACACAGGCCCACCTGCCCCAGGGTGGCACCACCCACAGTGGGCTGGGCCTTCCCACATCACACAGTAATCAAGAAGATGCCCCACAGACATGACCATAGGCCAGTTCAATGGAGGCAATTCCCCAATTGTGGCTCCCTCAACCCAGGTATGTCAAATTGACACTACAACTATCCAGCACAAATGGTTAAAGCAAAGAGCCAGGGGTGGTGGCTCAAGCCTGTAATCTCAGACTAGGGAGGCCTAGGCAGGATTGCAGTCCTAGTAGTGACTGCAGCAGCCACCAGGTGGTGCATTTGTAAGGTATGGTTTTGCAGGACTGGTTTCTGGATCAAGACCTTCCATCACAAAACCACAGGTCTGTGAGCTGGCTGACTGCAGCAAAGGTGTTGGGCTTGGTCTCCAAAGGGAGTCATAGCCAGCAAAAGCCTCCTGCCACCTCCACATGGCCCACCACGGTCCACGCCACCTCCATGTGGACCACCATGGTCGGCCGCTGCTCAGCTTCAGGAGTCAGAGCCATCCAAGGGTAGACAGAAGCCTGTTAGCGTGGAAAGGAGACTGAGTGGCCTGAGCTGGAGAGATGACTCAATGATTAAAAGCACTGGTTGCTCTTGCAGAGGACCCAGGTTCAATTCCCAGCACCCACATGGCAGTCAAAAACAGTCTATAACTCCAGTTTCAGGGGATCTGACACCCTCTCTGACCTCTTTGGGCATGGCAGGACGTGGGTGTACTCACATACATCTAGGCAATACACTCACATAAAATAAATCAAAAACAAAACTATTATGGCCATGGAACAACCTAGATCAGTTTCCTCTAGCCAAAGATAAAACCAGTGCCAGTACCATAGTACCAGTACCATAGTACCATTACCATAGTACCAGTACCATAGAACCAGTACCATAGTACCACTGCCATAGAACCAGTGCCATAGAACCAGTACCATAGTACCACTGCCATAGAACCAGTGCCATAGTACCAGTACCATAGTACCACTACCATAGTACCAGTGCCATAGAACCAGTGCCGAAGTATTTTGGGGGAGCTAAAGAGATGACTCAGCAGATAAGAGCACTGACTGCTCTTGCAGAGGACCTGGGTTTGATTCCCAGCACCCACATGGTGGCTAACAACTGTCCAAACTCCAGTTCCAGGAGATCCTACACCCTCTTCTGACCGCCCCTCGGTCATTGCACAATATGGGTGCACCTACACACATGCAA